CTTAGCAGAGCACCTGGTACATGGAAAACTTCCTAGGAGGCATTTGTAGAGTGGGTCCGTAAACCATCCAAAGGGTGAACACAGGGAGAGGAACAGAACGGGAGGAATTCCCAGCTGGGAGAGACCCTTCCTGCACTACAGCCCTCCTCCCGCACCTTTGTTCTAGTTTCCTGGACAAATGGAGGCTATGAACACTCAATTCTGCCCATCTACGGTGCGGCCTGGGGGGCTGTTTGTGTGCTAATCAGCATCCCTAAGAAACATTTACCTTTAGAAAAGAGCACATAAATCTTCCCCACCCTGCGGCCAGAACTGCTCCACCAGGCTCCTGGAGGCCGACTGGAGCCTCCTGTGCAGAGAAGCGTGTGAGGGCAGCTGGTGGTGACAGGAGCCAGGCCCCGGGGTTGTTCTTATGTCTGGCCTTCCAATGTCAGCTCTTCTTCAGGCAGGGCAGGCCTTTTCCAATCCCCACATGACACCATCCAGGGCAGTCCCAGGACGGTGAGGGTGTGAACCCAGGCCCTGCCCTGGCTCTGGTGAGTGCTGGCTGGGTGTCGAGAAACCCAGGGCACCATGAGGGTTCCTCTACCTCAGCTCAAAAATCTCTTCTGAGCTAGTCACTGGAGCAACCTTCCACATCCCAGGAGGACCAAGTCACAGCTGTACCCCGACACCCAGGGCAGTCTCGGTGTCCACGGGGCTGCTCTTGTCTCAGCTGGAAGGCCTGCCTTCTGGGAGCTCCTTCCATCCTGGGCAGAGGGGGCATTTGTTACCTCAAACCCTCCCATCTCACTCAGAAGGGAGCCAAGGTTTTCACAGTCTCACGTGGCCTGCAATGTACATTCCATTGGTAAGCTGCCTACCTGCCGTGGGCCATTCAAGCTAACAGAGAAGCTGTGTCTAGAAGCTGGGTTGCACCCCGCCCCCGCCCCCAGCTGCTGGATGGATAGATAGTTACTAACTCCAAAACTGGGCCTGGCCAGTGAGCAGCTTTGGTGGGGTCTTCCTTTTTCTCCCTTCCCTCTTTTCTTCTCTCTCCCACTCTCTCCTCTCCACCTGCTCTCCCTTCCTTCCTCCCTACTTCCCCCCCTTTTTTTCTTTTCTTTTTTTTTTCCCTTGAGATACAGTCTCATGTATCCTAGTGGCCTTGAACTCACTATGTCGCCCTGTGTTCCTGACCCTCCTGCCTCCACGCCCTGAGTGATGGGGTCACACGCTGAGTTCCAGACCAATCTCTGTGCTGGGGATTTTCCCTGAGACTCTCTGGTCCTTACTGTCCAAGGGTTTTCTGAGACACGACACACTGGGCACAATGCCCTCTGCATGGAAGAAGAAACGCTGGTGTGGCCACTTACCCTTCCGGATCGGCTCTGCATATGCCCTGACATATGTGGGTTGTACTGGAGGATGGTACATTTGGAGTGGTGTGTGTGTGTGTCTATGTTTATGTGTGTGTATCTGTATGTGTGTGTGTGTGTGTGTGTGTGCGCGTGTTTCTATTTCTGTATGTGTGTATGTGTGATGTGTATATGTGTGTATGTGAATATGTGTTTATCTGTGTGTGGGTCCATATGCATGAGAGAGAGAGAGAATCTAGGTCAGAGGCAGATGTCTGGTGTCTTCCTCCACCTCTGTCCCCCTTTGAGTGGAGTCCTCCTGCTGACCTTGGCAATCTCAGATTCAGCCAGGTGAGCTGACCAGGACTCTTCCTGCCCCTGACTCCCCAGTACTGGAGACAAGTGAATCTGTACCCCGCCTTTCCACACTGGTTCTGAGGAATCTAAACTAACTCTTGTGCAACAGGCATTTCACCGACTGAGCCATCTCCTTGCCTTTGTTTTGCTGCTGTTGTTTTGAGACAGGCATTTTCTCCTGGGGCACAGCCTGCCATCCAGCTTGCCAGCCTCCCGCCTGGCCTCGGCACTAGGATCACAGGCATGAGCCACCATGCCCGGTTTAGCAAATTGACTCTTAACGATCCTCTTTAAAATCTCTGTTCCTCGCTGAAGGAGGGAGGCCTTGCTGCTGTTAGCAGGTTTGACCTTTCTGGAGGCGTCAGTGTACATGACTAAAGAATGATAGCAGCTTTCTTCCTTGATAAAAATATCTTTCAGAAAACAATGTTTTCTCAGGTTTATTTTCCCCGTGGTGTCTGACTCTCTGATGGAGGGTTTGGTTCCTTGCTTCTTCTCTGTGTCCCCACAACTACAAAGTCCCCTACAGAAAAGTAGGGCCTCTTTGCCTGTCCCTTTGCCTGTCCCAATGTGCCCTAGGCATGGGGAGCATGGCCTAGCACTGAGCACATGCCCTGCAAATCTTGGCTGGATGAGAATTGCGGGCACAGAGTATCTCACAGGAGCTCCCGTTTTTCCAGGCTAGGAAGCGCCATGTGACTTTATTCCCAGTGTCAAAATGGCCGTGCTTTGGGGATGAGGCTGGGAGAAGCGACATGTTTATCGAGTGGTCCCACAGATAGGGGTACAGTTATTAATGTGTTAAACCTCCACTCATGACTGCTGAGCCAAACGGTGACCTCTAAAAACGTGAGAGTGCTCAGTGCCGTCAGCTGGGGTCATATTTGTAGCAGGGACCTTTCCAAACGGGATTCCCTTCAACCTAGCTGCTAGCAGGGACCTTTCCAGAAGCGATTACCTTCACCCTAGCTGCTTGCGTAGGCAGTGGTCCATCCTGAGTGCTGTGAAAGGAACTTTGTAGATGCAGAGAGGCTCCAGATGGGCAGAGTGAAGGTGTGTGAGGACGCACTCAGTGAAGGGGTGTGAGGACAGACACAGTGGAGGGGTGTGAAGACAGGCAGATGGGAGGTGTGGAAGGACACAGAGGACAGAGGCCCTAGGAGAGAGCATCCCCAGGACCCTCGGTTGCAGATCCAGCCTTACGGGTGCCTGAAGTAAACCCTTGAGTCTGAGGCCGTGCACCCTGTATAGTTCTGTCTCGGGGTGTCTAGCAAATGCTGCACCCCGTGTGTCCACTTCTCTGTAGCTCACAGGACTCTGTTATCTACAGTGCAGAGAAGAGGAAAGTGCGGCTCGGGGAGAGGAGCCTTAAGGTGAAGCGCTAGGACCCTGGAGTCCCTTGGTGAGGCCTGTAGCTCCTGTATTCCATGGCCAAGTTCCCCATGCTCTGGGGTCCTGTCCTCTTCCCCACCAGGACCTTTGGGCCCACAGATGTCTGGATGCTCCCTCCACACTCACTGATGAGCTGTCCCCTGTTCTGGGCTGAAGGTGGGCTCCATGGCTCCTGCCTGGGGACCCTGGGTGGGATGAGGGAGGACGCTTGTGGGAATGCAAGGAGTCCACTGCTGGCCTACAGGCGGCAGTACTGTCCGCACAGCCACCTGTGTGCTGCCCCCACGATCCACAGAGAGACTCACTCCATGGGTCCCCACAACACGGACACAATTGGGAAAGGTCATGGAACCAGGGCGGGGGTGGGGTGGGGGGGGAGGGACAGGATTCAGAGGCTCATCGGTTCTGCGCGTGGTACATCACCTGATTCCATGTCTGTAAAAGAGGGCCTTCCCTGTTGTTGGTCAGGCCTTTTTGTAACCCTTCAAGGAGACAACGGTGCGGTGCCACTTGCTGGCCCAGCGGCAGCCACGTGGTGTGTGATCAATGACCATTAGCTGGCTGTTATTAACTGGCAATTACCATTCCGGCTCCTTTGAGGGTGTTTAAGGAAAAAGGTATCTCGGCTGTGAGGACGGAGGTTGTGCCCTACTCCGTTTATGATTCCATTGTACTGAAGTGTGCATGCTGGGGCTGAACGTGGGTGGGGTTTGCGTGGGAGGGGCTGTGAGTGGGAGGGGCGTGGTGTGGGAGGGACTTGAGTAGGAGGGGCTGTGGGTGTGGGAGGAGCTGGCATGGGAGGGACTGTGAGTGGGAGGGGCTATGGGTGTGGGTAGGGCTGAGTGTGGAGGGCTGGGAATGTGGAAGGAGCTGAGTGTTTAGGAAGCTGAATGTGGGTGAGGCTAAGTGTAGGTGGCTCTGGGTGTGGGAGACGCTGGGTGTATAAGGGGCTGTGGGTACAGCAATGCTGGAAATGCAGAAGGGACTGTATGGCTGAGAATGTGGGTGAGGCCGAGTGTGGGTGACAGTAAGTTTGAGTGGGGCCGTGAGTGTGGGCGGGGCTGGGGGAGTGCGTATTTACAGGTTCATTCACCCATGGAGGCTCCTAAGGGCCTGCACATTGGTGTAGACTCACGAAGCAGAGAAACAGAGAAGACGGGACAGGGTGCAGGTAAGTGTGGGGTTCCAGGGAGATGGAGGACAATGACCTGGGGCTGAGTGCCCAGTCAGCGAAGTGGCTGTGGCACAGCACGAGGGCCTGAGTGTGCAACCCAGCACCGTGCAAGAGCAGGGCCTGAGTGTACCTCCCAGCAGGGTGTAAGAGCAGGGCTTGGTGGTCCTGGTGGTTTAAACAAACGTCCACTGCAGGCTCATGTACTTGAGCGATGGACCCTCATCCTTCTGCAACCGTAAAGCTAATGAGGCCCTCCTTCTCTAAGCTGCTGGGCCGCGTGCCTTATTGCATGGATGGAGGAGTAACTCATGTACTGACACAGCTGTCTTCCCAGCCCCAGGGACAGTGCTGACATCAGCTGGGTCAGCCAGCGCGAGCTCCGAGACGCTCAGAGCAAGGCAGAGAGCAATAGTGGACCTCCCACGGAGCTGGCTTTGGGCCTCCATATGAACACGTACATGCATGTACAGCACACACACACACACACACACACACACACACACACACACACCCTGCATGGAGGAGAGCCTATCTAGAAAGGCTTACTAGCAGTGCTCACACATATGCAAAGATGTGCATATGTAGGTGCAGAGGCAGGTCAGGGCCTGTAGACACGGTGGGCGGGAAAGCACAGCACTGAGCCCATACTTGGGCTGGTCCCATCTGTCAGGGCCCTCACTCCCCCACCTGCACCCCTACAGAATCCAAGATGGCCGCACCCCAACAGAAACCACACAGACTCCGGGGAAGTCAGCTTTATTCCGTACGGACCAAGCATGTGCACAGCCTGGTGACCTGCTGGGACACGTCTCCCTGGGCCCATCCCACATCTTGACGGTGGCCATGTTGTCTGGCTCTGGACGGCAGGCCCCGGGAGACTGGGGCCCCTCTCTCTCTCTCCTCCAAGCCTTGGAGTCGGCAGTCTCTGACAGCAGCTGTGTCCGGGAAGGCAAACACAGGTAAGAACCAGACAACCAGATGCCAGCTGGGAAGGTCTTGAGAGGCCTGGCAAACCTGGACGGGGCAGTTACCAGAGAGAATATGGGGGGGCTGAAGGGAGACTGCTGGAGGAGGGCAGGACAGATTTCTAAAGGGCCTGCTGGTATTTGGACCTGGACTGTCCCCAAAGGCCCGAATTTAAAGGCTATTTTTTTTTTGCATGATGTTATTGGGAGGTGGTCGCAACGTTAGAGTAACCTATACCCCACTGAGCAGAGGCCAGCTGTTTCTGTCTGTTTTATTTATTGTGTGTGTGTGTGTGTGTGTGTGTGAATGTGTATATGTATGCCTGTGTAAATGTGTATGTGTGTAAATGTACATGTGTATATACTTGTATATAAGTATGTGTGTATGTATATATGTATGTATTTATTTGTGTGTGTGTGTGTGTATTTGAGACAGGATCCCATGCCTTACCCCAGGCTGCCCTTGACTCTCCTGGCCTTCATTCTCAGCACAGGAATCCTAAGTATGTACCACCAAGCCCGTGAACCTTTTGAATTCTCATTAAACCTTCAGGTACTGGCTACTGTCCACTAACCACCTTAAAGAGGACACAGATGTTGGTGAGACCCCATGGCTTGCCCATGGTCTCATGGCTAGCAGCCGGGGAGTGGGGAGATGAGGCTGGGGTGTGCCTGGAAAATGGAACTGTGCAGTGTGGTTTAGAACCTCGGCCTGGGAATCTGGGAGACTTGTAGTCAGCGCTCACCAGTACAGTGAACAGCCTCAGAGAGCTCCCATCAGATGGGAGAGGCCACTTGAGTTTAAAAAAAAAAGTAATAATGGCAGAGACAAGGTGTTCCGGGCCAGTGTGTACCAAGAACAATCCCTTGTGGACGAGTGCCCTTTACTTGGCCTTTGAAACTGCTTCCCATGTCCCCGAGAGCATAATACTGTAAATGAATACCAGATCTTTACTTGGTAATTGAGAGCAGAGAGAAGGCCACGCTGAGTCAAATTAATTTTCTCGGATATGGCCCAAGCAGGTCCCCGAGGAGGGGGCAGCAGCTTTGCAGCAGGCCAAGGGGGCCTCTCAAAGGAACAGGCGGGCCTGGGCTGCAAGGAGGCGTGGGGCTGGGGCCTCGCACACCGGGGGCACCTGTGTACAACCGATTGCCAGCCTCGGTCTTGACTTCCTCGCTTAGGAGACCTGTGTGGCAGGAGTAAGGACAAGCCTTGGAGAGGGAGGGGAGGAGCCTGGAGTTCAGCGTCTGGGATAATCCCAGGTGATTCTCAATTCCCGCCTCCAAGGATGGTCAGCCGGTGAGGTTAGAATATTCTGCAGACGGGAGGCCACACCAGCCCCTTCAGCCCTAGGTGGAAAGGGGTTAAGAAAACGAGACCCAATGGGAACACTAAAAGGCTGGCGCCATCTTTGAGTGCATGTGTGCGTGTGTGCTTGCCGCTGGAGGTTGTGTGCATGTGTGTACCTGCTGGGACCAGAGGACAGCCTCAGGGGCTGCTCCTCAGGAGATGGCCACCTTGCTTTTTGAGGCAGAGTCTCTCACTGAACCTTGAACTCACCAGTTAGGCCGGTACGGCTGAGCCCCAGCCGCTCGCTATCGGCGCTCTCTGGGGTTGGGGCTGCATGCCACTAAACTCATGTGGTTCTGGGGATCGAACTCAGGTCCTCATGCTTGCAAGGCGAACATTCTACTGATTGAGCCACCCCTCTCCCGCTCCCCCAAAACACCTACCATTCTCTCTCTCTCTCTTTTTTTTTTTTTACATGTATGTGGGAGCACACATGTGCAGATGTGTAAGACAAGCCCGTGGCGGCCTGAGGCTGACATCAAGTGCCTTCTTCAGTCTCTTTCCAGCCCATTCTTCCATCTCAGCGAGTCAGGGTCCCGCTGAGCCCAGGGCCTGTCTGTTTGGCTAGCCTAGATGCCAGGCAGGGCTCCCCTTTCTCCACCTCCTGAGTTTTGTGGTTGAGGGTTGGCCACCATGCCTGCTCAGCTCTTACATGGTTGCTGGGGATCTGGACTCAAGTCCTTATTCTCCCTGGCCAAGCGCCTTACCCACAGTGCTGTCCCCCCAGCCCCTCTCTCACTGTCTTTAGCATCATCCCCCAGGACCCTCTGCCATCCAATGCATCTTCCTACATCTTACAGGCCATGTGACTTCAGCTATAGCCTCTGACACCCCGGAGCCAGCCACCGCAGGGTTAAAGCTGAGCCCCCATTTCCCGGGAGGCTGCCTGGCCTGGAGGCTGCCTGGCCTGCTGTCCTTACCTGCAGTGTCTTCCTACTGCTGGAGATACTTCCTCATGATGCTTTCAACATCATCACCTTTCCTCCCGGGGCCAGGCTCTCCATGCTCTGGCGACACGCGCTCACCACCGTCCCCTTGGAGTCTCGGGACTCTTGGACCACTCTTGATGCTGCCTGTGCTTTTGAAGGACACGACGGAGCTGGAGGATGAGGAGGAGTCAGAGAGATGAGCGGGCTCCTCCCTGGACTCCGGGCTCTTTTTCAAAATGGTTTTGAGAAAGGAGCAGTCAGCCTCTTCCGTCTCAAAGTGGACGCTTGGCTGCTTTGAGGCCTCCTTCCCGTCTTCAGCAGCCTCGGACAGAGGAGTGGTGGGCTTCCTGATGGCCGGGAGGAAGTCGTCAAAGTCCACTTTGGTCTGGCGTCTGTAGTTGAGGCTCGGAAGCTTCCAGCTGAAAGGGTCGCTGTCCAGAGTTTCCCCCATCAGATGAGAGAACTGGCGGTTCTGGAAGACCAGAGGCTCCTTCCCAAGGTCGGGGCAGCCCGCGTCTTCCACAGTGGACTCCAGACACGGCCTCCTGGGCCGCAGCGTAGGCGATGAGAGTGGGTCCCTGAAGGCCACGGGGGAGCTCAGCTTTCTCCTTACGCCGGGGCCTGAGTCTAAGAGGGACTCACAGGAACTGAACCGTGCCTGCTGTTTGTCAGGCAGCTCTGAGGACACACACTTGAGACTGGTGGACCGGGAGAGGCCAGCTGTGGCCCTGGGGTTCCACTCTGCCCCTAGAGGTGATTTTGTCTCAGTCCTCAGGGAAAGGTCTCCCTCATCGCTGCTGGCCCTGCCCCTCCTAAGCGAGGAGGCCCCGGTGGTCTGGAAAATGGGCAGCGTGGGTCCATCCCCGAGGTGCAGGCTAGAACCCTGGCCTCTCTGGGCCCTCTTCCTGCGGAGCTCTTCCACAAACTCCGAGAGAGCGGCTGACGGGCTGGGCAGCTTGTCCCTGGACAGGGGTGACGCAGCCGTGCTCCGAGAAGCGGGAGGCGAGGGCAGAGGACCCGGTCTCTCCGGAGGGGTTTTCCTGTGGAGGGAAAAGCCTTCCCCATCCCTCGAGGTCTCTCCGGGAGCATCCCAGGCTCCACTCAGTGCCGATGACGCCCGTCTCAGCCTCTCAGGCTCTTCACTTATCCTGTGTGGAGAAGAAAAATGTAACCGCTAGAAACCGCAATTCACAAGATTTGCGTGACCCGTGCTAAGCCTGCCACGGGTCTTATTTTTGTCTCTGTGAAGGCCCGTCCCTGCCGAAGCCTCAAGTGAGTCATATGATCTGATGTGGAAACTCCAGCTGTGGAAATGATTTTGTGTTGCTTTCTGAGATGCAATTTCTATCTATAATTAAACCCGGCTAAGTACGTTTGAATGGCTCAACACTGCGGCGATGATGGGTGTCTTGGACTTTACTGGGCATTCTATCTGACAGAACTTCACTCCGGAGCCTGGGATATGATGAGTAAGTAATTCCCTCTTCCAAACCTGGAGGTCACACACGCCAGGGCGGCTCATTTATTGAAGGGCAATCTCAGAGCACAGCTCCAACAAGTGGGGTACCGGAGCATCATGTACCCCAGCTGTGTCTTGTTGAGAGATACCTAATGAGACCTCTGATGGCTTTTGGGGTGGAGGATGGAGGGGAAAGAGTCACATGAAATCAGCTTGAAGCTATGTCTCTATAGGGGGCGGCCCTGGGAGGCCTGGGGGTGAGGTAGGGGCAGCTTCTATTCTGGGACACAAGCCTCCATTTTCATGAAGCACTCTGATGCAGCTATGCCCCACCTCCCCAAAGCCAGAGTCTCGAATCCTGCAAGAGGGAATTATGGACCACGAAATAAAGGGCGTTCTTTAAAGGAGGTGACAGGCCAACAGTGTCCCCTTGAGAAACAGAACGGTTCTTTGCCCTCCTTGTGCACCCACCACTGAGGTCACATAATTCTTGCAGAAGGGAACACCAGGTGTCAGGTTTGGATGAGGGAGACGAAGTTGCTAGAGCAGGCCAGCGGTGAGGTGGGAGCCAGGCACACTCAGGCTCTGTGACAATGGGGACAAGTGTAGGAGGTGTGCCAAACACCAAGTACAAAGCTTTGAGAAAAGCTTCCTGCTCCCAGCTGGAAGTTTCCACCTCTATCCTGACCTCACAGGGTAGCTCAAGAGGCGAGGGCCCAGAATCTGGGGATACAGCCCAGGACCTTCTGAGGACCCAGAGGAAATGGCTGACAGGGACAGGGGCCCAGACTCTGTTTTCTTAGACTGTGCTTATCCCCACAGGTGTCAGGCCACGCAGCCTTGGGGGTGACAAGGCTTGAGGGTGAGTCCCCTGCAGGGCTGGAAAGATGGTCCGGTTGGTAGAGCACGTGCCACACAAATGTGAGGACCTACCACGACCTATGAGGACTGGCGGGACAGTGTGTGCTTGTGCTCACATATGAAGCCTGGTGGGACACTGTGTGCTTGTGCTCACAGAGCTGCGGAGGGAGGGGCAGGTGTGCCCTGCACATCATTAGCCAGTCAGCTGAGCCAGTCAGTCAGGTGAGCTCCAGGCCAGGGAGAGACTCTGTCTCAAAACCCAGGGTAGACAGAGGCTCCATATTAGTTTGACCTCTGGCCTCTGGCCTACACACACACACACACACACACACACACACACACACACACACACACTTGATACATACACACATACACACATATACACATACATACATGTACACCACACAGGCACTATGCACACTGACACAGAGACACACATAGATACAATATACACACATTCAACACCACAGACACACAACACACATACATACACACACTCACCACATAAACACACCACACATAATATACACTCACATCCCTACACCCACACATACACACATATATACACACACATGCACACACACACACAACACACACACACACAACCCCAGACAACCCAGTTGCCTCATTCCTCCATATCAGACAGACACCCATGAGCCGCACACTGAGTGAGCTTCACTCTGAATTTGGACTTCCAGGCTGCAGTTGCTGAGCAATCCCCTTCTGTTTGGAAGCCGCTTGGACTGGGGGGCTTTGTCATCATGATGCAGAGGCCATGACACCGGGGGCCAGAACGTCATCCCGGGGGGCTTCTCTCCTGCCATCTTGGTGCCTGGGAGATGATGCCAGACCGTGAGGAGTCCTGCTAGACAGTCTCCCGAGGACGGAGGTAGGGCTGGCTGCATTCACTGCCCCCTGCTCCATGCTAGACTAGGCACCAGGACCTCCCCATCCTCCATCCCGGTCCCCTGTCGCCTCCCACCCTCCAGGAGCCACTCTCCCTCCTCTGCATTTTGGCTTCACCGGCAGTTGGTTAGGAAAACAAAGGAAAAGCTCCTGATTCTGAGCTTGGCATCCATTCCTCAATCAGGAAGAATGCAGAAATGAATAGCAGCCAATCACAAAAGCTCTGGTTATTACCACCCTGTTCCCGACCTCCCAGCCTCCAGACACAAACCACCACTCAACACAGCAGAACTGAGAGGGATAAAGACAGGGCTGACCATCGCACAGCAGTGACCTTGAAGTGGGCGACCCTGAGCGCTAAAACTAAACATTCATACTTCTCCCGCAGCAGCTGTTTCTTCCTGTCCCATCACAGCTGAACCTTCGAGCATTGAGTGTAAAGCCCAGTGGCTGCTTTTCCAAACACCTGAAGGCACACTTGTCAAGAGCAGGGCTTTAGAATGTCCCCCTCCAACACGCGTGCATACACACACACACACACACACACACACACACACACACACACACACCCTGCAAGGTGACATCCACATTCTGTTCATTTCATTCTCCTTTTTAATAAACAGCTTTGAGCTGTCAGGGCCAGTGGGCTGCTGCCGAGCTGACAAAAGTCATTTCTGTGCTGTCTTGGCCCTGAAAGGAGGTGGGTGTGATGAATGTGTCTCAAGCCTCAGCCTCATCCATCGTCTGCCGCTCAGGGTGGTGACGATACCAAGGGTGCCTGTTGCTGGTCTCCTGGGACTCTGCAGCCCTGTTGCTCTCAACTCCAACCATTACTGTTGGCTTCAGATGCCAGGACAAGGCAAGAGAACGTGGAATAACCAGAAGCTGAAGGAAGGTGGGGAGGGAGGTACGGAGGAGGAAAGACAAATATAAGAAGGAGGAGTGGAAGAGTCAAAGACACCGGAATCACGTGGGCAGGATCCTGTTGTCTTTTAGTCCTGTAGCTACTCAGTTCCCAGCCTTGCTCACAGAAGGTGTTCAGCAAGTGATGGATTTAATCAGGGTAAAGGAGAAGGAGGAAGGAGCAAGGTGAGAAGAGAAAGGGTAGGACACAGGTAGGAAAAGGGCCAGTGAGGAGAGGAGCTGGAGTAGATCAAGGGAGAGACAACTGGTAGACCACCAGAGGATGGGCGAGAGCTGGGGACTGGAAGGAAGATGAAAGGCTCAGATGGGGGGGGAGAGAAGAGAAAGACAGGGGTGACAGCAAGATGGGGGCAGGGATTGGAGAATCACAGGAGGGATGGGGTCTGTCCTTTTCATCTCTGACAAAAGTTGGGGACAGGCTGGGGAGCAGCATCAGCCAGGAGCCCAGACGTGGATCTGCAGATCCAGGCTGCTTTTTAAGGTACGGATGGCCCAGGTTGGTGGCCCTAAGAGCTGCAGGTGTAGCCTTGGCTTCAGGAGCAGGGCCCCGCCCTAGGCTCTGCCTTCCTGGGAAGGCCTGATGCCTTTGAGGGATCAACAGGGACACAAGCCACAACATCTGGATTCTCAGGGGGGACTCTAACGGTCAAGGGGTGTTTGATGAGTTGTGGAGACCTCCCTGTCGGCTCCACCACACAGAAAGCGACATCCTTTGTCTCTCTCAGCCTTTCCTACTGCTGTCTGCATGAGACTTTGTATCCACAGTCTGTGCACACATTGTGGGATTGATTGGTGCAGACATCTTCTGGGCTTTGGGAAAAGAACCCTGACTCTGCCGCTTGAGGCTGGTGCGCATCCTGTCCCAGCTCTGTAACCTTCAAGCACAGCCTGTATTCAGGCACCCAGGCCCGTGACACTCATTCTTGCCCTCCAGGTGTCTTCCAGGGTGGCCCGGCTGGAACCCTATCAGCCTCCTGTGATGGACACATGGTAGACAATAAAGATGTTTATCTGACGCTCAGCATGCTGGCTATGGATGGAGATGCTACAGTACTGAGGGCTCTCGAGTGCCTGGGAGAAGGATGATGAATGCCAGTGAGGGGGGTTACTGTCTGAAGAGACCCTCCTGAGATATCTTGGGGGCTTCTTAGTCTCTTAGTCTTGTCCCTCAGGCACTGCAAAGAACAAGCATTGAGGTGGTTCAACTCAGAGATAGTCAGTGGTCACAGTCATGGCACCTTAACACACTGGACCCTGTGCTAGGATCAAGGCAGAGTACAGGCATCTCTCTTGCCCCCATGGCTGATAAATAGGGCTGTCTGCATCCACCTACCAGTGCTACAGAGGGGAAAGCCCCATGATAGGAATTATATTTGCACCGCTGCCTAGACTAGTGCCGTAGTTATGGCAGATGCTCAGTAACTACTCATGACGTGGGCTAGGGGACCCCAGTATAGCACATGCTGGATTCCTGAGGGCAGTCTTCAATCCCCTGGCACACAGTAGGTGCTCAGCTCAGTATGTTCAGTCATTAGTGATGCTCCAATGCCAAGCACACAGTAAGAGTCCAATGAATGCTGACTAGTGAACCCACAGGAACATTATGTAGCAATGCCCTGCGCGTTTGGTTGCCTAACATTGCAGAGGATCCTTAGGTAAGCTGGGATATGCAATCTTTGGGATACTGGAATTTGCAAGGCTAGGAAAATGAATCTTTAAGTGAGTGATGGTGGCTTCAAATCCTGGCTCTTCAGCTTCCAAGCCAGGCTTCTTCCAGGTCATGTCTCAGGTCTCAGGATGTCATTAGGAGCTAGGGATGAGGCGTGCTGGCTGCCCAGCCTCCATCTGTCCCAGAGCGTCAGTGGTGGCAACACATTCTATAGTTTTACCTGCACGTTCAGTCAGCCCTTCACTCCTGCAATTATGCATCTGTGGACTCAGCCAGATCAAAAGTACTCGAAAAATAGCCGTGACTGTACCAAACTCTCGCAGATACTC